CCTCCTCCTCCTCCGCCTCCTCCTCCTCCTACTCCTCCCTCCTCCCTCCTCCCTCCCTCCTCCCTCCCCCCTCCTCCCTCCTCGCCTCCTCCTTCCTGCCTTGTCCCCTACCCGCCGGACGGCGCCCACGTGCTCCTCGGGGGCGACGACGACGACCTCGGCCTTCCTCACACTTTCTAGGCGGGTGGCTGCGGGGTGCCGCGCGTGCCTCTCTTCCTCCTGGTTGGGCTGCCTGGTCGAGCGGGCCTCCCCTCCACTGGCCCGCAAGGGGGGGGGGGGACCGTCGTCGCCCCATCGGCTCCCTCCTTGCTGGGGGGCGGGGGGGAGCTGAAGGCTTCGAGGCTGGAGAGGTGGGGGGGAGGGGGGGAGGAAGAGGACACTCCACTGCACTGTACTCTCCGTGCGCCGTCCCGCGCGCCGGCGGGAACCATCTGGCGCCAAGCGTTCACAGCCAATGCGCCTGCTGAGCCAGGCGCTGCAGGAGGACGCTGCCATAAGGACGCTGCTCCGGGGCGGGCGGTCGCGCGGCGCGCCCACCGACCCAGTCCCGAGCGCACTCCAGTGCGCTCGGCGCGGCACGGGCCACCCTCAGTTCTCTGGAGCTCCGCGCCGCCGCGCACGCCGCGGCGGTCTCGCCTCGGCTGGCAGCTGCCTTCGCCGCCTCCCGCGGCCTCCCTGCGGACGCGTCGGCCCGCCGCCTCCGGTGGCCTCCGAGGCCCCCCGCGCCCGCCGTGCCGCTCCCGTTCTGGTGGGCCAGCTGCCGCCCGTGCCGGCGCCGCCGCCGCTGTCGCCGGGACCGTCGGCACGCTGGTTGCGGAGCTGTCCTTGTCCCCGCTCGCCTCATCCTCCATCGGGTCGTCCTGCAGCCCGGGGCGTGTGCTTGCCTCTGGGGCTGTGCTGCCGGGGCTGCTGGAGCTGCGCCTGCTGAAGCTGCTGTTTCGTCTCCGTCTCGCGCGGCTGCTGCGACACCTGGTTCCCGTTCCGCTGCCCTGCTGTCGCCACCAGCATTGCCGCCTTCCGCTGACTGGGCCCTGGCTGCCCTGCGGCTCCGCGCGCTGATCAGCATTTCTCGTTGGCATATCTCCTCTGCCAATCTGCGCATCCTGCTGGCTCGTTTCTGCTGAGGCAAGTGTTCCACGATGATGCTACATCCTTGTCTGCAACACGCGCATCACGTGCGAAATGCTAGCTGCCCTGCAGCTCTTCAGCGCGCGTTGTCCGTTGGCGGGGGTCCAACACTTTGCCAGGTACTCCCTCGCATTCTTTGTCGCCTCGAGCGCTGGGTCTGGTGCTGGGTCTAGCTTCCAGTCGTGCTCGTTCTCTTTGCCTCCTCGTGCTGTGTGCGGAGGAGGGGGGGGGCTTCGCTCACATCCGAAGGGGGCCTCACGGCAGCGTCCTTAGCCTGGTCAACTTGAATGACGGTCCTGCGGTTACCTACGGATGCCTGACTGGACTGCATGGCTGTCAGTCCTTCGGTGCTCCGCGGCTCTGTCGGGTGGTTCTCACACGAGTAGCCTCCCCCTGTTGGTCTGCGTCCTGTACGTGGCGACTGTGTGCCTGAGGTGTTCCTCTCCTCGGGGGCTTCCTCAGGATTTTTTCCAGCTCCACGTTGCGACGCTGAGCCTGAGGTGTTCCCCTCCTTTGGGGAGATCCTCAGGTCTTCAGGTTCTGATTCTCGTGTCGTTGTTCTCTCGTCGGTGCCCGCGGTGGCGTTGCTGGACTCCGTTGCACAGTTCATGGTGGTGGTGGCACTGGACTCCGTCGTGGTGCTCATCAGGAGGAGGAAGAGGAGGAGGATGAGGAGGACGAGGAAGAAAAAGAGGAAGGGAACAGGCAATGGACAATTGACAAGGAATCGGCGTGTTCCCGAGGAGGCCGCGCTTTCAAGCCGCCGCTCGCGCCAAAGCCCCGCGAGATCCGAGCGCCGACCTCCCTTGTTTGCGTGCTAAGCGGGGCGGCCCGGATTACCCTCCTCATCCTCCCAACCGAGGAGGATGAGGAGGAACCTTGAGAGAAGCAACATCGAGGAGCGCGAGGAGGACAACAGGAAGAAGGGCGACGACGACGACGACGACGACGACGAGACGAGGAGGAAGGCGCGGATAACGAGGACGAGGGGGACGGGGCTCCGCGACATCTTACTCACAACACGCTGTGCCCGTCGCAGCGCGGCGGCGCCATGCGCGCCACAAGCAGGTCGACAAGTACAGACAAACAAAAAACGACAACTGGCCCAGCGGGCTTGAGGCGTGTTGAAATCTCCGGCAAGAGGTTCAGAATACCTCTGGTTCGCGAGCACAGGGCGGCCACAGGAGAGGTCCCTGGACGAAACGTACCCTGGGAAGGTCCGCGAAACCCTGGGCCAGATTGGCTTTCTTCTCGGCGTGACCTTCGGGGCTCCTTGGTCTCAAGATGGCTTGATTGGGCCCCCGGACGGACGAGCGCTCCAAGCCAGCCCAACATCGCCTCAGGCAGCCCAAGAGGCCCCCCAAAGCGATGCAGGAGGACACCCAAGAAGGCCCGAAATCTGGCCCAAGAGGGCATCTGAAGGGATTCCGAAGGAGCCCCGAAGGGCCCCACGAGTGGGGATCAATGGATGGCAGGCCACAAGGTGGCACGATAACGGTCCCAAGAGGCCACAATATGGCCTTAAGACGGTCCAACACAGCGCAAACAAGTTCCAGGATGCTGAATCTAATCGATGTCGTTCGGCGTTTTTCCCAATCGCTACGACCAGACAAGCACATGCCAAGTATGACGCTATATGGACTGGCGGAATGAAGGAAACGAGAAAATAAGACCGCCGGTGGGGAGGAGGAGCAGTAAGACCAGAGGGGGAATGCAGACATGCTGAAAGATGAGGAGGCGGAGGAGAAAGAGGATCGGACAGCGAGAGCACACACCACCACGATTCCCAGTCCCTGGTGAATATCCGTTCAGGGTCTGTTAAAGGGGCCTCAGGACACACAAAAAAATACACACAAATAAAATTATCCCGCATATTTTCCCATATATTCTGGGTTTCTGTCTTCCCCCCCCCACTTCCCATATTTTCCCATATTTTCTGGGGACTCGACGATTAATTGTGTCTGTGTGTTTTTTCCCTCCTGATCTGTTCAGACACCACACACACACACGAGAATGATGGTCCACAGGCCAAGCGGCGTGGCGGTGGTGGCCAGTGTTCTCCAGCTGTCCATGAGCAGGAACGGGACGATGATGGAGGGCTATACAGTCGGGGCGTTGACCTAAACCCTGAATAAGGAACGAGGCCCCTTTTTCCCATTAGTTAAACTTAGATTTCCCATCGGAACCCTAAGCAAAACCAAAGGCGAACTGCAAAACAACTAAGGAACACCGAGCCCCTCTCCAACGAAAAGGGTTCCTTCTTCAGTGCCCCGGCTATATGCTCATTCTGGGGACCTTCCTGGAGACACTCGCTCCACTCGTGCGTCGAAGCTGCGTCGAACGTCCGTCGATTTGAGCCGACCTTGGATCGAATTTGAGTCGAATTTGAATCGAACTGGGGTCGAACTAGGGTCGAACAGATCCGTCAGGTGGGCCCCAGAAAGGTCCCCCCGAACGAACACCTAAGGAGGGGGGGAGGGGGGAGGGAAACTTGGTTTGTTGGTGCTCGGGCTCCCCATCGTGGTCTCCCTGTCTCCCCCGTGCCTCGGGGGAGAAATGGGCGGAGAGAGCAGACTAGATGCGCCCCTCCCCCCCTCCCCCCCCCCACAGCCGCCGAAACGGGAACGGAGGGTGCAGTTCAGGCAAGGCCTCGGGCACCGACACCAATGCATCGGGACGAGGAGCAAAAAGGGAAAGGAGCGCCCAGCCTGCCCGTGCCGAGTCGTGGCGCCTGGCTGTACGTCGCCACCCGCATGTGGAAACATAAGACGCGATCGGCGGGTGGGACGGGGGCGACCGACATCGGCTGCCGGGGGCGGGGCGCCAACAAAACCTACTCACCTACAGACTGAACCGCGGCGTGGTCATCTTCGCGCTCACCCCCTCAGGGGCGGGCACTATGATCTTCGCTCCTGTCTTGGGATGCGAGCCCTTTTCAAGACGCATTGCACCCGTTCGCTGGTTCGCGAGCGTGGAGGCGACCTTGGAGGGGCCCAAGCACCGCAACAGAAGCTTGCGCATTCCTCCCAGGTCACCGCGCGCTCCACACCGGCGGCACGCATACACAGGGCCATGGGAGAAAGCATAATGTCCAATGTCGGCGAGGGGAGGGGGCACAGGAGGAGGGTCCCCCAAGAGCAGGATCGGTGGGGGGGCCCTGGGCTCCAGGCTCCTGGGCATCAGCCTCCTTTGCCTTATCGGCCGCCCCCAAAGCAACCTTCACCGCCTCCGAGCGAAACGCCGAGAACGAAACGTCGTTCTGTCGAAACCAATGGTCGCGCACACGTCGCTGGATCGGGGGCGGCAGGCGAGCTCGAGTCTCGCGGTGAGTCGACATGGCTTTGAGAAACGCGGCGTTCCTGGCAAATCCCGAATCCCCCGTAACGTCGACATCGCCATTCGCCCCTCATAGCACGACGCCACCACACCTCGTGCGAAGCCACGGTGGTCGAGGTGGGGTGGGGGCGGGGGCCGAACCAGAGCGAAAGGAGGAGCTGGGATCCAAATCCGTCCACTTCTGGGCCACAATCATACGCTGGGCGGCCCATGCAATACATTGAATCGTGGGCCGAAGGCGAGGCAGCTCACCTGCGACAGCCTTACAGAAACCCTCCGCGAGCGAGCGCAGAGATACCCCAAACTTTACAACAAAAAATCGGCCCAGAGGTCCCCGCCCACTCACGAACACACATCCCGTGCTCCAGCGCATCATCCAAACGCAGGCGGGTGGGGCACCATCGAAAATGGGGCGGGGTGACCTCCTGCATGGCCAAGATGCTGAGCCAAATGGCTGCGTGCTGGGCCGTGTCAACGGCGAGCTCGGGGTCCCGCACGTTCCCCTCTCGAACAGCAGCCTGCAAGTCAGCGCGCGAGGAAAGATGCAACGGGTTCGCGGGTCGAGCTTGGCGGACAGCCCACCTTTCGGTTCTGCCGATCGTCTGCCCAGGGCTTAGTAGGGCGCATTGCAGGGCCCTGCAAGGCAGCGTGGGTTCGCACAGCTGCACTGCAGTCCGCCCTACGCGCGCAACCTCGGCAAAGGAACTCTGAAGCCAGCTCCCGTTCAGGAAAGACTCTGGACCCAGACGCCAGCGCTACCTCCAAACCCACAGACTTCGGAA